TAACGATGCTTTTAATTCTAACATTCCTTTTTCATTTATTAACTAGAATACCTCTATAAAGTAGTAGTTTGAATAGGAAGGGCAAGTCAAAGTTTGTGTTTTAATACAACTGATTGACACTATCTTTTTGGAGAAATGTACTTAAATGTTTCAAGGTACATCCTCTTTAAAAGCCAGTATTTTGTTAAAATGTTTTTAGCACTAGATGTTAACATTTCAAGTAACTTTTAGAATTTAGAATATTCAGAATTTCTATTCTTAAATTAATAGAATTTCTTTTGATCTTTTGTTTTTTTAAGAGCTTATCTGTTCCCTATTTGGTAGAATGAATCACTACCAAATCTAAATCTCTAGCTGTAACCAGATTACAGATTTTAAGTTCCTTGAAGACAGTGACTGACTACTCATAAATGATCAGCTTTTCCAATTACCTTTTGAGCATTTCAAACTTAACACATTGCCTTTAAAGCTCCTTGTCTCTGCCTGTTCTCAACTTCCCTTAATCCCCCCAAACCTAGTCTTTTCTTCTGACTACCAGTCTTCCAGGCAGCCAGGCTTAAAACCTCAGTCATCTTAATACTTCTCTTAGTACTCATGCCCAACCAAATGCAAGTATTTGCCCTCATGTTGTGGAGGAAAAAAGGGGTTCTATGGAAAGTAAGCTCACAGAGTGATCTGATCACAAATTCCTAACTAGGCAGGTCATGGTGGGTAATCACGCCCACGGCATATAACATTTTTAGTAAAAGGTTTTATTTTTGCCTTAAGCAAGCCCTGCCCATTGTTTCTGTGCTCGAATAAACTCTCATAACGATCTTATAGAAATGGTGATATCTCTTCTGGGATCACAGTACACATAATGACAGCAGGGGTTCACATCCACAAAAGTCTGGCTGGAAGGGCTAAGCCATTGAAGAGTGCCACTGACCACTTAGGCAGAAGCAGGAAGATCCAGCTCTCTCTGTTGGTTGCCCACACTACCCTATCGCTAATTACGACTTATAATTTCGTTGAATCTGATTACAGTGACCTAGGCTTCGTATAAAGGAGAAATTCCTCAAAATGTACAGGCATTATAAGCTACATATTTGATCACTGATTGAAAAATATTTCTACTCTGTGATTTTGCTCTTCCTATGTAAATCTTCTTAAGATTATTGAATGAATGAAAGCCCAATGATACTGCTCTGCTGTGTTAAGCTATTTTGGGTAGTAACAAAGCTTTTGTAAGTTGCCTTTTGGAGTTTTGAGAACCAAAGTTAAGTTTTTACTTTATTAACTTTCTCTTCTCTTCCCCTATCAGGGGGTTTTAACCTGGGGTCTGCAGATTGATCCTCCATGGTAGATGGAGTTCAGGGAGTCTGTGTACTTGGCTAGGGGGAAAAAATTATCTTTTCATTAACCTCTAAGTAAAGCTTAGAATTTACTTCATCTCTGAATATAGGGAACAAATTGTAGTAGTATTAGCAGTACTTGTGATTTTTGTCATCAATAGTAGTCACATTTTCCATCTTGATAAAATGGTTGCAGCTATCTTGAAATTATCACTACTCCAAAATTACTGTGGTTATTAGACTTACTACTAGATCTTATCTAATTTATTTTTAGAAGCACATTATTATATCCATAAAGATGCTTTGACAATTATACTTTTATATTTTATTTTATGCATTTAAACACATTATTCTGACAAGGGCTCCATAGGTTTTACCAAACTACCAAAGGAATCTGTGGTTTTACCAAACTGCATAAGGACTCATGCTGCTAACTCTTGTACTTCTGTTCTGAAGTGAGAATGAAGCTAGCCAGAACCTATGATGCCATGTAGCACGCAAGTCATGTCACAGGTTATGTAAATTCTTTGGCCATTGATTTTTGTGTACAAAATCATCATAGATTCTGACATCACAAATGAGAGGGAACAAAATACTAAGGGAAATGAAATGATTTTCACGAAGTCAGGCAGAACAATTTTCCTTTGTATTAAGGAAGTATATGTTTATATAACTTAAAATTACTGTTTCCAAAGGAGTTCTATTTTAAGTGCCTTAAGTTAAGTAAAACAGTGGGAGTCTTCACTGACTTGGGAAATTTTCCTGCCCTCTTTTTTTTGGGTGCACCAGCGAATGTGCTTGAAATTGCTTCGAATCTTGTCTTCAACAGCTTGCTATATTAGATGCAGGCCTTTACTTTGCTCAACTAGGGGAACTCAAAAAGATTGATGAACCCCAGGTTTGAAATACCTGCTCTGTAGATTAGAAATACACATCCTTAACATCAGTCTGTTGTGGTTGTGTAATGATGCTGTGTATTTACTCTATCACCTAGAAAACTATTTGACAGAGTAGATGGAAGAAGAGCAGTTTAACAATTACTGTAATTTCCAAGAAAATAAAACACTCATTTGAAAATTGCATATTTCTAATAAAGGAACTTATAATTATCTTAATGACAACATAGTCTTAAGATTTATATTGTCAGCAATTAAAAAGGCTATTTAAGTTTAACTGTAGTGTATTCTGAGGTAATAATGTTGACTTCCTTTTGATACATCTTTAGTGTCTGAATGTTTTTTTAATTATTAGGGTGACACTGATCAACAAAATCCAGTAAGTTTCAAGTGTGCGAATATATCCTAAAAAAATCTTTTCAACTAAACATTTGAGAACAGTGGATAATGCTTTAATACTAGACAAACGATACTCAATTTTAATATTTTGTGATTTGTTACTAATCAAATGAGAAAACAACTTAGTTCTTGGAGATGAGGATCAAAGGCAGTATAATAATGACGTTCAGACTCATTCAATGAATATTTATTAAACAATTACTATGTGTACAAAGTTACTAGAAAAGGATGGAAGAATTACCTATTTAAAAATACGGTTTGAAAACTTTTAGAATGTGAACAAAGCTTTGAATGAAATGTTATATATATCTCAAATCTCTCATAATGCCTGGTAGCCAATAACAAATTGCCAAATACATAAAAATCCACAAAGTTCTGATCTGTTTTTCTCACATCCAAGGCCCACCTTCCTATTCCTCATCTGCGACAAAAACCGACTGACCATGTAGGCATTTACAGGGACCTAAATCCTGCATAAGAATGCATATTATGAAGTGGGTTGAAACCACAGTGGGAAAGAAGGACATAAGTTATTACTCAAAATATTTATTTTCAGTATAAAAATTTAAACCTACATTTACAATTTTAGAGAAAGCTCAGGCATGCCAATCTGATTAAATGGGAGTTAAAAGACATATATAATCCTCACCCAACCATTAACAAGTTTTCAGAACTATGATGATTAATTACAACTTCTCCAACCTCAGTTTCCTAATCTGTAAAATAAGGGAACCTGACTGTTCATTAAGATGTTTTTCAGCTATTATATGCATTAATATTTAAAAGGCCCAAAGATATGTAAACTATCGAAACATTAATCCTTTGGTTTCATCCTATGGTAGTAGGACTTTTTTTTCCCCTTTTTAATCTGTTTAGGTATGTGATAGCCTATTATATTAAGCTTACAACTAAACCTATTCAACTATAAAAATCTCACAAAGTGTTCCCCAGACCATTAACTTGCATATTTAACAAGGGTCACTGCAATCCAATGAAAGCATAGCATCTATCTAAACACTGAATTAATTACTGAAGTATGTTCAACTTCTGTTTAATACTCACCCACTACTCCTGTTTTAAGGGCTATATATCTTGATTTTTTTTTTTATCATTTATATGGCAATTTGAAAGCAAAGTTGTACCCCAGGCTGTAAGATTTGGATTTATGGGTGCTACTTAATGCTTAACTAAAAAGCTGAAGATACATAGTCTCTGCTTCACCTCACTGGGCCGCTAGCTGACATCAAAATTATTAATGGCTAATTCCT